GACCACTCGGTTTTATTTAGCAAGGTTTTGTGTCCTAAGCATCAAGGGATGTCAATCTATGAGCGGAAGTATTTGGCCATTCTCATGGCATTGGATAAATGGAGGCACTATTTAGAAGTAGAAAAGTTCATTATTAAGATCGACCACGAAAATCTTAAGTATCTCCTGAACATCGGATCCACACTCCAATTCAATGAAAGGGGCTCACAAAGTTGTTGGGACCGAGGTTTGAGATTCGAGTATAGGAAAGGAAAGGAAAACATAGTAAGTCGATACTTTGTCTCGTAGAGTTCATAACTCTTATACTATTTTAAGTCATCAATAAGAAGGACATCTTTATGCTATAACCACCATGGTTCCTATATGCTACTAGGATATTATGGAATCATATAAATAGGATGTTAAGGAACAAGAGATCATCATAGCTAAAGAAGTTCATGCTAGTGTTTTCTCTCAATTTTCTTATAATGAGGGAATACTAAGGTATAAGCAAATAATTTATATAGGTGAAGATTAGGAGTGGAGGACATAATTAGTGTAAGTCCGCTCATAACTCGCTATTGGGGGTTATACAAGAGTTCAAAACACATACGAAGGCTCAAGCATGCTTTTTATTGGCTAGCTATGAAATTAATGGTTAAGACTTGGATGGATAAGTGTGATTTTTACATGAGAGTAAAATCGAAAAATCGAGTTATCTAGGGTTGCTACAACCATTACCAATCCTAGTAAGAGCATGGAAAGATATCTCTATGGATTTCATAGAAGGATTGCCCAAATCAAAAGGTAAAGACACTATTTTGGTGGTTATGGATAGGTTCACAAAGTATGAGCATTTCCTTTCCCTATCTCATCTATTTATAGCTAAGGATGTGGCCAAGACATTCTTAGAGTAAATTTACAAGTTATATGGATTATCGACCTCCATTGTTACGGAGAAGGACAAAGTCTTTATCGGTATGTTCGGAGAGAATTATTCAAGTCTTTAGGGGTTCGGCTTTGCATGAGTTTAGCTTCCCATCCTCGGAAAGATGGCCAAACGGAGAGGTTAAATAATTACCCGGAGACTTATTTAAGGTGCATGTGTATGGATTGTTCAAGAAGGTGGCACAAGAGGTTGCATTTGGCATAATATTGGTATAATTCGAATTTCCATTCAGTAATTCGGATGTCTTCATTTCGAGCCTTGAATGGTTATTTCTCTTCCAAAAAGAACTTATTTTACGTAGAACATCTACAACTATTGCTCTTAAGGAATTAATGTGGGAGAGGGGAGTTATAGACTTGTTTTTAGGTGTATAATTGGGAAAGACATAACATCGAATGAAACGGATGGTCGACCGAAGGAGAACCGAAAGAACATATGAAGTTGGATATAAGTTCTATCTCAAGCTTCAACCCCATAGGCAAGTCGGTGTGGCATTAAGGAAAAACTTCAAGTTGAATCTCGGATATTTTAGCCCTTATTCCATTCCGCAAAAGGTGGGACATGTAGCTTACAAACCGGAGTTACCCTCAAATGCTCTTGTTCATCCCGTTTTTCATGTTTCACTCTTAAAATGGAAGGTTGGTAACAATGTTGTTGTTACTATCGATCTACCACCTATGGATGGTGAAGGTCATATCACACTTTACCTTACTCGTTGTTTTGGATCAAAAGATTATAAAGAGGAATAATAAAACAAGTAGTCATGGGACTCATTCGGTGGATCGGCATGCCAATGAATGATGTAACGTGGGAAGTGTTGGAAGCTTAGAGCTTTAATTTTCAGATTTACGCTTTGATCCTCGAGGACAAGGATCCGTTTGAAAGGGAGGCGATGTTATGAATTGTTAGTCTTCAACTAAAGTTAGGAACGTTTAGAAGAAATGATAACATAAACAATAACCGACTAATACCGATGTGGCGATAGTTATAACTAATTAGTCGACGTGGCAAGTTAGTTACAACTAATTAGCTCATGAGGTAGATTAGTTAGTCGGTTAGTAATAATAAAGGTGTAATGAGTAAATTTTTGAAATTCATTGAATGAAGTTACGGAAGAAATTATTCTTGAAAGTCTCTCTCTCGACTCTTTCTTCTTCTTCTTCTTCCCTGAATTCTTCTTCCATTTCCTTTGTTAAGTAAAGTACTTAATAGATTTCAATTTAAAAAAAATCCAAGAGTATAGATTCCAAAAGTATTTAAAACCTTATGATAGAAGTACAAGCCTCCAGAGAGAAGATAGATTCTAGTACTTATATTTCTCACTTAGTTGTTTTCTTTTAATGGTAAGATGTTTTTTTTTTAACTCATACATCTAAAATTTTTATCGAATTAATTTATTAGGATTTGAATCTCGTAACCTCTTATTGTAAGATTACAAGCTCTTTGGTTCAATGGCAAGATGTCCTCCACACGATGAAAGCTAAAAATACTTGCACGGTGCAGCGAGCGCCCATCATTTCTCCTGTTTGCGAGTAATAACTACTCCCATAACATCTTTTCCATTTATTCTGACCAATGAAAGATGGCATGGCAATCTGTACTCTTCGTAATCTCTTACTCTCCATAATATTATAAAAAAGTTTGAACTACTTTGAGAAATGATCATCCAAAATCAAGATCTCACCAGTACCTATGGTTCCAGTCAAAGTGGGATATCCAACAACATTCGGACTTAGTGGAATTTCTGTATCTTATGGATCCAAACTTTAGTATGATAGCCTTTTAGCATCTTTAGCTTAAATTTATTGCCACACTGTCGCTTGAAGTACTGCTAGACAACCTCCAATGTGTATTAGATGGCTAATCCACAAGGATAAGCCATTGCCTACGGCATCAACTTGTTGAAACTTGTCACCATGAAGTTCAAATGATTGTAGATACATCGATTCTGCCATAAATTTTACTATCCAATATATAACTCCATTGACACATACGAGTTCCTTAAAATCATACCATTTTGTGTCGCCATAAAAATTATAATGCTCCCTGTTTATTTTTCTCCTTTTTTTGTACCCAACGTACAAATTTCATGTCCCTCTTTCGCATAAGAAAGAAATTTCACTACCTCATACTCGTTAGCAAAAGGATCAAACCCGAAGAAAAAGATTATTTTTAAAATCTATCTTCTGTGGAAGCGGAGGAATGGTTTGTAGTTTCGTAGTTGCCAAGATCATAGACCGAGATATCGTATCTGTCGTTAAGTATGCACGCTAAACCATTAGCAATCCCCAAAACATGAGCAGATTCTTGTATGGATATTGTGTCTTTCTTAATGGCTCGTTTTCCTTCATGGTCAGCAAAGGCAACGTAGTTGCTGAATGGTTCATGTTTTGAGGAAAGAAGGAATCCGGTTTTGCATGGTTAGTTCAAGGATTGGTTTTGGTGCAACTAAACAAAGGGAGGATCTCTAGTCAAGGAAGAACTTGTTTCGGAAACGCACCTGAATCTCACGATAGACTTTGCTGGGAGTTTGGCAAGCACATCAACAACTATATCTTCCGGAATGTGATATTCTGCAGCCTGACCTCTTCTGTTCTTGGTTTCACCACCTTCACTAGTTTTGTTGATCTCGTCTTGATGGTGGCTTCGTCATTGTTTCCTTCGTTTCTCAATCGACTCTCAAGGGCGAGTCACTAATGATTATATATATATATATATATATATATATATATATAAGAACGGATCTCTTATCATAAATAATAATAATAATAACCCTAAATTAGCAAGACGTGCAGTTTGTTGGAAACGCCATATAAACTTAGATACTTTGTACTTACTCAAGATAATCGATTCAAAGTATCTGACAAATATAAAATAAATCTTTTCATCCTAGCATATGATGTGCCGTAGTTCTCTACAGGTTTATAAATATCTCGACCCCAAACTCCAGTCTCTAGAGAGTTTGCAGGACTTCCTTTTTCGATATTATTTGCAAGTGCGAGTGCGAGCTAGGAAAACTACGAATGGCTGGATAGCCTTATAACAAAGTCTTTGGACGGCAATTCATAGTGATAAATCACTTAGCTTCATTACCTTTAAGAAAAGTGCATTTTTTGCAAACTCGATTCATCTTAGCAAGAAAAGGAGGATGGATAAAAACAAAACAAAAGTTCCATGAAGGTATACTTGAAAATTGAATACAGCCTCCATAAAACACAGGAGAGACAAACCCTGAGCAACAGTACAGGTATCAACAACTAATCCACAATGGCCAAGTCTATCAAGAACAGGATAAAATCTTCACTATTACATCATTCACAACTATCGAGTCAGGGAGCGCAAGAGAGATGGTGGGAGGGGAAGGAGAGAAGAGAGGTAGTAAGAGGAGTAAACATTACCTATGGCTTACGAGGAGGAGAACTGCTACTGCTACTGTTGCTGCTGCTTCTTCCTCTCAAAGGCCTAACAAGAGAAAAAGATACCCCTTCAGTACAGAACAGAACCAAACCATGAGAAAGTAACAGCACTGTGATTGAAACTTCACCACAAACCAAAAGCCTGGACAAAAATCTCTCTGCATGTCCTCAAACAAGTCTCAAAAGCAGTTATTTAACTAATAAAGCCAATATGACTGAGAGATTGAGTGGCTAAATGGTGGATGTGTTACATTCAAATAAATTACAGTATCTAACAAAGAGAAAAAACACAAAGAGAGAGCTCTCACTTTCCACCATTTTTCTTCAGTTATGCAACTTTCTTTCACACACATAAATGAACCCTCCTTTTTTGTGTTGGGCATTTCACAGAATGCTATACCTATTATTCTGTAACTGTTGGAACTTGAGAAATTTTCCTTGTGCATCCTTAATATCCATGCATATCAAAATGCCCTTGAAAATTGAGCTTATTAATCATAAAAAAAAAATGGTGTATATAAGGGATTTTGACATCAATGCCAAATAAAATGGAAGGATACAATTCTGCTACATTGTCCATCTTCTATCAGATGTGCAAATTATGTAAATGAATAAAGGAAACATCAACACAGATTTTTTTTAAAAAAAAAATTGGTTCACCTTCTAGGACTGCGACTCCTTGATATCTTGCGGGTGACCTGTTGCAATCAGACAGATAACCAATTAAAATTAAAAATAAAAATAAAGAGAAGGTTCTTGCAGGAAAACACACAATTATAGCACCAACCTTGCGTGGACTAGGTGATCCAGAGTATGATGAAGACCTCCCACGTCTTGCAGCTGGTGCACGGCCTCTGCCATAGACAAACAACGAAAAACGTTGTTAAGCATCACCACCAAAGAATGTAACAAAAAATATTCTCCGTTCAGATGCTAGTTTGACAATGGCATAATAGGATAGAAGGTTCAATCAAATCTTGTTATTCATCTTCCAAAGTAATTCGTTCGCTTAAGCTGAAAAGCAACACTACTAAAAGAACATCTGTTCCACAATTTAGAAAGGTGGAAGTTCAGAGAATAGCCCAGAATATCTTATATAGCTTCCTTAAAGTATAAAAAAACTCATGGAAAAAACTCCAAGCCCAAAACTAATCCAACGTCCCCCTTCATGGAAATGTCCAACAAAAGAATTCACAGTGTAAAATAAAACTTTGTCAAATTCACCAGGTACTTTATCTTCAAAATCACACAAATATTGCAGCCATTAACTTAAATAAATCTGGCAGGAAAGTATGCTCCAGGGAAAGAACAGAAGATGGAAATAACTTTTGGCAAACAAGGTTTCATTCAGAAAAACAAGAAACCCCTATTTTGGATATTTTGATGCTACCTTCGTGGCGAGATTGACCTTGAGCGAGAGCGAGCAGGCCGACGAATTGGAGATCGGCTGCGTCTTCGAAGTGGAGACCTTCTTAGAGGACTACGAGCTCGTCTAGGAGGTGAGCTGAGGTAAGAGGAAAAGAATTGCCAACAAAGTATATCAAAAAATGTTTATATTACAACAAAGAAAACACCTGGAACAGTGGCTTTGAGGAATTTCAGGTTTTAGACTACAGTTATTTAAAAAGTATTATTACCGTCGCCTTGGAGGAGGAGAACGTCTACGAACAGGACTACCACGCATCCTTCGGGGTGAGGGCCTAGGAGAGATAATAATGTGTTATTAGCTTCAAAATTAGACACTATTAAAGAAGCAAACATCATAGATAGTCAAACTGCCAACCTTATTGGGGACCTATATCGCCTTGGAGGAGAGGATGGAGAACGACCTCTGGCTGGAGATGCAGGTCTCCGCCTTGGAGGAGTCTCACCACGACGAAAAGGAGAGTCTACTCGGCGACGAACAGGAGAATCTCCACGTCTATGTGGAGGAGAATCCAGCAGACGTCTGGGAGATCCACCCCTTCGACCAACAGGCGATCTTCTCCGAGGCGAAGCCAGAGGTTTTCGATGGGGAGAAGCTGACATCAAAAACAATTCATAGTGAACACATGCATTAATTTGTGATACTGTAGAAGATAAATAAAATGTGTTCTGGTAGTGATCTTATGTAAGGCATACGTTCTCTTTGCCTTTTGGGTCCATCCTTCTCAATGTCTGCACTGGCATTATCAGTTTTTGGTGCATCTCTCTTTTGAGCAGCGGCAATTGGCTTAGAGGGTGGTGAAAGCTTCTGTCGTGGAGGTAAGGTAAACTTTGCACGAACAACATTGCCATCAATTTGCGCCTGCAGGAGGCAGTTTACAATATCATTAGCAGTCATATTACACTTTGCTTGTCACAATTGCATTTAGTACCAAATGTTAAGCATAACCTACCCCATCCATGTATACCAGGGCCTTTTCAGCATCAGCTCTAGTCTTAAACTCAACGTATCCAAATCCTTTTGGAAGATTAACCTGCTCAAGTGCAACATCTTATTACACCTTAAAAACACACATATTCTACCAATTGCACAATAGAAAAGCTTTTATAAACTTACAGTGCGATCCATTGCCAGCTCCACATGAACAACTTCACCGAAGTTACCTGAATGAATGAATAAAAATTAGTTTCGCCATCTATGATCATTGGTTAACAAATGACTCAGGACGCCCTAAACAATTTACCCATCAACAGGCAGAAAATGCAGAAATTAACCACTGATTTCATAGATTTGATAAATAGAAAAGCAAAATAGCAGTCAATCCATTCTTCAATACTAGAAGATTTTTAACAAATCCCATTTCCAACAAATCTCAATAACGGATGCAAGCTCAGATTACTTTCTAAACCTAGCAGTAATACAGTCATAATCCGAGTGCACTAAATAGTGGAATGCAGCTCAAGTTACTTCATGGTTAGAATGCCAAAACATCATTAAGAAAAAAGGATGGGCAACAGTGACCAACTCAACCTCAAAAGCAATTGTTTCCAAAAGAATAATAATCATTTCTCTTTCCACCAATCTGCAAACCATAAAAAAGAAAGCATCTAAAACTTTACATGTCAGCTTATGAAGTGCTGATTTCACCAAACAAATTAATGACACCTACAAAACAACTTCAGATACAATCATTGTGTTGCATGGCTAAAACTATATATACATGTGTTCATGTGCATCCACAAAATTTACACATTATTGCATGCATGTGTTAATAAATGGAAGAGTTAGATATTTACAGTTATTGCAAGGCATACATGAATGCCAAGGCTCAGATATCAACCTTTCCAAGATACAAAGGGCTTGAAAAGTGACAGAATACAAGGAAAATCTTCCAGAATACATAACAGAATAAATGCTAGGAAGCTAGTTTCTTACCACAGTCACAATCAAAGAGAATAGAGTCAAAATGCCATAAAATATAACAATTTAATCAACCCACCACAGACCAACAGTCCATCCACAGTGCAACCTCCAACATATCGTTGTTAATTCATAAAGGAGCAAGAACTTACTAAATATTTCTCTTAGATGACCCTCATTCACGTTCCTGGTCAGTGAGTCAATGTGAAGAACAAGAGACTCACGAATTGGTGAAGCTTTCCTGAAATAGATGGCCATGCATGAAACAAATTTAATTAAAAAAAAAGGCAATGACCATGAGCAAAGAATAATTGCATAACAAATTAAACTCACTTTGACCCCATTATAGGAAACATAAAAACAATGTTTTCTATTTCTTTACAAGCAAAATGGCATTTTCTCTTTCTAAAAAATAAAACCCACTAAATTAAAGACCAGAAAAAAGAAGGAAAACAATTCAACTCACCTTGGAGGAGGAGAAACCTTTCTAGATGGTGGTGGGGGAGACCTACCTCGCCTGACTCCTTCGGCAGGACTGCTTGCAAATTAAACAAATAAACAAACGCATAAGTGCCATATTATAATTAAAAAAAAAATTAACAAACCTAAAGAATTTTGTAAAAATAAAAAATGCATACTTGATTTAAAATACAAAAATACTCGTTAATATGAAAAATGAAGAAAATTTACATCACTAACAACCACTCTAATTAATCTTCTATGCTCAGGCTAATGCTAAATGCTACATAATTGATCAATTGTGCCTTGACACCTTTAAAATGTATTATTTTATGGTAAAAGCTATATTAATGATCAATTGTGCCTTAACACCTTTAAAATGTATTATTTTTGCAATCAAAAGCAAGCTTAATTAGTTGAATTCCAACCCATGAATTAATTACAAAAAATATAGAATTATAAATTCATAATTAAATTAAAAACAAAAGAAATAGAAAAACTTAATAACTGATAATATTCATTCTCCACCATCAAAAATCCAAAAAACACCTCAAGCTAACTATCACAGTCTACATTAAAGATAATCATGTTTTAATTACCCCAATCTACCAAAAATCCAAAATAATTATCAAGAATCCTAAAATCCAAATGGAAAAATAATAAACTTAATTCTCAAATGGATGCAAATTTCAATGAACTAGTAAAAGAAACCAAAATGAAAATAAGAAAAGGAGGGAAAAAAATGCAAATTCACATTTTGCGGGGAGGAGGAGGGCTGCGGCTGCCAGAACTGGCACTGCGAGACGGAGAGGAGGAAGTGGAAGATATGGACCGCGAACGAGGAGAGCGAGACAGAGATCTGGAACGGGACAATGAGCGAGAGCGCGAGCTGGAGCGAGAATCTGAACCGGAATAGGAGCGAGAACGGGAGCGAGAAGAGGAGCCGGAGCCGGAGCCTGACCGCGATGAAGGGCGACCTCGCGTTGGCTTCGCCATGACTCAGAGAGAGAGAGAGAGAGAGAGGGAGAGAGAGATAGGAGGGAAATGAAACCCTGGATAAACCCTAAGCTAATTTGGGGATGGAGACTCTGAGCGAGAAGTGAGTAAGTGTGCGGTTTGTGATTTTTATTTGTGGACCCAAAGTAAATGCTCGGCCTGATCTGTAGATCCAAAGGCTTTATGATGAGGAGGAAAAAACAAATCTCATTTTTCTTCAAAATAAAAAAACACATGACCATATATTTTTTTTAAAAAAAAAGATTAATGAGTGTAATATTGGCCTCATAAACCAATATTATTATCTAAAGTTCGTGTTTAAAAAAAATAAAAAAGATAATTTCTTATAAATGTATCAGATTGGATATCGATGACCTACTTAAAATCCTATTAAAAAAATTAATTTTGATATAAAAAATAATTCAAAAACTCTTAACACTTTATTGTCAAGACTAGAAATTTGAGAAGGTTTTTGTGGTTAGAATTCAAAAAACAAAAAACCCAACTTCCATTTAATTTATATATAGATAAGTGCTAGTAACACTCTCTCTTAAATACTTATTTAATAAAAATATCCACATTAAATAATAACAATTAGAAAATAATTTATGCTTCATATTCTCATAAATTTTTTAAATTATAACTAATCTCATATTATGTAAAAGATTAAAATATTCATTGTTTATTTTTTTATTTTTAAAATTATATGAAAAGATTTAACGTGAACATTTTTATTAAATAAGTGTTTAAAGGAAAATGTTAGAGCAAGAGTTACTAGCACTCTCTTTATATGTATATATGCTTGATCCATTAGAGCAGTACAATTTAAATTGATAGATGCATGAATCCTAATAATAGCTGGTTAATTCAGTAGATGAAGACTGTAATTGGTATGTTTCAATCATTTCTTATCAAGAATTTTGTCAATATATAACTAACCTCACAGATTTTCATTTTATTTTTTGGATGAGCCACGGATTTGTTGGATCCTCAAAGTTGTGAACTTCGAATGAAAGACCGACAAGGAGCCAACAGAAGTGCCATGTTACCAAACCATGAGACAACTCGTGATTATGTCATGTAAAAATTAGAGAGGCAAATAAATCACTGCTGGTTTTTCTGTTTTTTTGGCATAATGGATGTCATAATGATTTATAAGTAAAGAGCTCGAGATTTGGCTCACTGGAAACATGATACGAATAGAGCTAAGGTTAAAATTTCATTGAACTGTGTTTCCCAAAACCAGATAAACCTTCAAGTTCAAACTGGTTTGGTCAATGCTCATTGTTTCAGCAGCAAATACCAAGACCAGCATAAAACACAATATACAACAGAAGACATTTAACCATGTGTTTTCGAGGGTCAAAGCAGGTTCAGTGCTCCAACCGCTTGAGCCACAATTTGGTTAACTTCGGTTATTCGATACTGGCTGAGGCATTTGAGCGCCTCATTTTGGCTTCAATGTCGCCAAGGTGCAACGAAACAGATATGTCTTCGTCGCAGCCATTCCTTAGTGAAGCGAGATTCTTAGACACCTCCTTGTCTGATACATTGTTTTGATGAAGTGGGGACTGCCTGATGAAGCTTGGGATAAACTGGTGTTCCACACTTGGAGTCACCTTGATACCGTCTTCCAAGTGAAAGACAGTTTCCATTAGTGATGGGCTCATTTTTGGGTTGCCATTTTCAACTTCTGAAGGTATATTCTCAATTTGAAGACCCAATGATTCCAATTTGTCATCCATTCCGTCATTCGGAAGCATTCCATCAAGGGGCGAGGAGTCTCCTATGGTGGAGCAAATTGCAGTTGCCGATGCAGTTCTTTGTTCTTGTACTGCAGCTGAAAACAAAACACAGAACGAGAATAAAAAAGGACAGATATTGAGATAAACAAATAAATTAAAAAGAGTAAGAATCATGAAGAGCCCATGTAATAATATTTTCGAGTTTCAGCAAAATCTTTTAGCCAGCATCCTTTCATTCCCCAACCATGGATGTGATATTTGTTTATCAGTAATGAATGTTCTCCATATTTGATGAACATTCCATTCCATCCACCTTTAATTGTCCAGCAAATAAGCAATTTTGTGATCGCTTTTTGCATATGACTTTAATTTTCATTCCAATAAAAGAAGGAAAATAGTATCGCAGAATGGTGAGACAACAGGTATTTTAAAGGTGAAGTTTATAGGCAACAACAATGCTGTGACATTTTGACCATGGCGGTATCAAAATTGTTGACAGTAGAAATGCAAAAGAAGAAGAATACAAAGGAGAAAAGAAAAGTGAAACCATGATAAGCTTGAATGGCAGATGGCATAAAGAAATAAAATTAACAGGGGAAAAAAAAAAAAAAAAAAGGAGGTAGGACAGATTATTAGCCATATGTCAAAGGACAAACCTTGAAGCCCTTCATTGGTAGTGATCAGATCAAGTTCAAGAAGATTGAGAAGGCGACCAAGATCAACCCCACTAGTCCAATTCTCTGGAGGCTGGCCAACTTTCAACTTAAGTCGGCCACGATTAGCAGTACCACCCCATATGATCCCAATAGGCCGTGGCTTCTCACCACTCTCACCCTTCATTACGATGAGGCTTCCACTATCTCCTTCAAGGTCAAAAGTCTGTTGATTTTCACCTACAACAAGAAAGTCAGTTAAGAAGCATATGCCTTTCTCGTCATTGTACTCCAGCCCATAGGCCAATACAGTTCCTGTGGTCAAGCCAGAACTTCTTCCGACCTTCATCACTTGCTTCCCAATAAGGTTACTGATTGGACATTGCAAATCTATAATCTTGACATCACCGATTTCGCCTACACCTTTCACAGATGTAGTAACAGTGGACATGTCAAAATCATCAGCAAATGGGATGAACGCCCCATCTGCTCTCACAAATGTTTCTGCAAGACGTACCAAACAGTACTATATAAGTGTGGTGTTCAAGGTTAAATTGAACTATTTGACATGCTGTTTCCAATTTAAGAAAATTTAAAAGAATCCTAAAGAGCAGACCCAGAAAGAAGAGAGGGAAGAAGAACGAAGAGTTAGTGCACTCACTGAGCTTAAAAATGATACTGACATTTGTTCAGAGCAAAAATTTTAAGGAAAAGATGATAAGAGACAGTTCAAGAAGATACCATTAAGCCAAGGCACAACAATCATAACAAGCATGTTTGAGGAAAGAGAACCAAGATAAGGCATATTGCACAAATTCATAGCTAGACACTATTTAATTACGAGATAAAATAATAAGACGTTGAATGAGAGAATAATAACAGCATCAATCATGTGAGGGCATTACTTCTATGTCATCAGGAAAATCTGGATTTTATTACAGTACTTTAAACCAAGTTCTAGGCCAGACTAGGATACCACACTGAGATTTCCATTAGGTTTACACTACAAAATCACTTAGTGATATACAGATCAGACTGGATGATATAATTTGGTTAATGACAAAACCAAGATTAATTGGTAGATGAACAAAAATGATAAAAACAGAGATAATGAACCCCAATCTAGTCAGAGCTATGCGTTAGTGTATTTCAAATTTGTTCTGTGACACTTTGCTTAACTTGGCTGAGCCCACTCAGTTAGCAGAACGGTTAAAAAAAGAAGTCTAAATGTGCAGCTTGTCCCTATATAGCTCTATTTGAGGGCAGCATCAGTTTTTATCACTACGCAAGCTGCACTAATTAAAATCATAAATTTGGAATCTGCTTACCAGGGTTTATCCCAGCAAAAATGCCATACCAAAGGTCATCTGTGATAAATGAAGTAGCTCTCTCCACTGCACCAAGATATACGCCTGGTCCAAGCGTCGGGGGCAAAGGATGAAACATCTTCTGATTTGGATAATCTAAGTTAACTGCAACATGCCTGTTAGTTAGAAAACCAACTTGTCGACTGCCACTTTGGCTCCTTACAATAGCACCCAAGGTTCCATAAGTCTCCTGGCTTGCTACCTGTGCACAAGCAACAACTATGATATATTCCCATCATTTATATCAGATGACATTTAAATATGATTAGAATAATTGCCTCAAGTGGAGGAAACAGTGGTAATCGGCACCACATGAATGCTATGCTAGTTCTTCCAATTATAGACATCATGAATTAACTAATCATCCATTGGATCACATTCTGCAAGGGCATTAGCATTGTAACTAACATGTTTTCAGATGGTAAAGTGCTACCTCAAGTCATTCACATGATAATTCGACTTTAGTTCCTGATTGCACAGTTATTTCATACAACAGGAGATCTTCTTGCACAATGAAGGACCTAAAATATTTTTACACTTGTTCAAAACAATACATTCTATGTATGAACAGATACTTCCAAATAGGATAGACTGCAAGAACTTGCAAGTACCTGAGAACCTGAACCAATATACAGACCACCACCACGCAAATCATCCACAATCTCAGTGTACAACTGTTCTTTGGGAGTAGGCTCAGGTGCACCAAAATAAGAGAACTCAACCACATCAACATCACACCACACACCTCCTGGTCCCTGTTTAGAAGGATGTTATATTTTCAATGCAAATTGTTCCAAGTAAAATAATATGTAGCAGGCTTGACAAAATATCACAACACCCCACTGCTCAGAAAATCATTATATTAAGGATAGAATCTCAAAAATTAGCATCCTTTCTTACTTCTAGGGCATTGGGTAGACATTGGATGGGGCTGAGCCATTGCTTGTGAACTTTCCTAGAGACAAAAACAAGAATGGCTGGTATGTCAGTTAGCACACCTCGTTGAATACGAAATCCAATCGCTGTTCCAAGACTGTAACACCGTAGGATCTTGCTATGAAATGCTCTTATGGTCATGAGATCAAGTAACGTGTTTGCTCTCTGCCCTTGTGGCAACTGACCAAGAGTTTCAGGAAGAACCCCTTTTTGCAGATTGGCAAAGTAGTTTGCCCTCTCTTCAGCAGCATCACTTAAACGGCTGGACGTCGGCCATGAGAAGTAAGCAGCATTGCTCTCACAATGTTGTCCAGCTGAAGCAAAAGGTTGAAGAGTTGCGGGACCTAATGAAGTCAGGCTAGGATGACTGCAACAATTTCTTTCAATATCGAGAGCCGATTCATCTGATGGTGCAGAACCATTGCATGGGGCCCTCATGTTATTTCTGCTTCGCTCCATCTTCCAGATTAACTAGTGAAATAGCACAGCAAAGTCAAATAACAGAGACTTTAGTAATTGAGAAGCAGCAATGCGGAAAGGTTATAGAGCATAAAAAAATGAGCATACACAATAACAGTAGCAAAATATTGAAAAACAACAAACAAAAGTACCATGCTTTTTACATAAATCAAAAGGTTTTGAACTATTTGTGTGGTGCCTCCAAAGCATGAAAATTATAAGCTGGAAGGGGCATTTACAGACATGAGAGAAAATATGCTAATGTGATGACTGAACGATGATGAGCGCAGTCTTCAGTTTTTTTTTTTTTTTCAAAAAAAAAGAAGCACCAGAAGATAAGAGTAACTAAAGAGATTTCTACAGAAATACAAGGCAGCAATTAGGATTATGAGTCGCAACTCCTAAATTCCTTATCCTACATGTAGTTCTTAAGTGAAAAGGAACCAAATTTTGTTGCGCATGGTTCAACTTAAACACCAAGTGCGTATGACAAATTTGCTACACAAGGTTCCAGTAAACATTGAGTGCATTCATTTCATGGCATAGATTATGATGCTGTAATCCTGTAACAACTTCAACTTCCCCTTCACAGGGATGCTAGCTTACATCACTCATCCTATTGAACCCTTAAAACACATCTTATACCCTTAAAACACAGTATTAATTTTACACATCCTGTACTTTGTACCAGTAGAGGTTAATCTTGCGTTAATTCTCCATGTCTACAAAGAAAACCAAAATTTTCGAAAAAAAAAAAAGAAAAACCCTTGAACCCTTGAACTGGGTATATCAAGAAAACAATAAAACTTACAGCAGGCCAAGACAAAAAAAATTACAAAGCAACAAAGAAATAAAGCAAACCCAGAAAGCCAAAAGACAACTACATACCTAGGAGTGCACACTCACTAACACTAATCGTTTCATAAATGAGAAGAAGAAATTCAAGAAACCAAAGGAAGTAGAGATGGACAAGAAAGAACTCACAGTTTAGTCAAGGCAAAGGTGGTAAAGAGCTACAAGATTACCAAGTCACAATTCGGAAGGGGGTAGTAAATGGCTTAAAAGAGCCAAACCCACATAGTTTTAAGAGCCCAATTGGATGAAGAATCTGGTAAAGGGCTGCAAAGATTGCCAGTTTGCACTGCCAGCAGCAAAGTGGTTGATGCTATGGTGGTGGTTTCTATAGAAGAAGTAACCCATGAAAGCCATAACAACATAAATTATGCACATGGCAAGGTAAAGTTAGTTCCGTTTTGTAATAATTTAATGAGGGTGCATTATATATATAGTAGATTTACGTTGGTGGTAGTGGTAGGTGATTTTGTGATGCGGATAGTTTCATGATTAGAGCACTGAGGTCTATAATATTTGCCGTACGATTAGAATGATTTGTGTTTGATTTTCAGATCGAGACTTTGTCTGATCTTAGGAAGCTATCTACAATGCAATTGGGTTAAAGATACATGATGTCTCTTTATTATTTTATTTATTTTAATCATGTGTATCTGTCAATTTTTTTAATTATTATATCCACTTATTCTTAATTTATGTTTTAATTATGTCATTTCGGCTAAATTTTTTTATAACTATATCAATTTTCGACGGTAGACTTACAAGATACTCACATGTGGTTTTTTTTTTAATTCTAAAAAATAAAAAAAACCTGAAAAAAATAAAAATTCCAAAATGTGTCCTTTTTTTCTTATATCTATATATAGAAATAAATAATTAATTTCATCTCTTAATTTTTTTTTGTTTTCTCTCAAATTTAAGGAAAGAATAGATGCAATTTTTTTTATTTTAAAAATTTATTATGAAAATTTATTTCAAATCCAAATCCAAAAAAAAATTATAAAATTTTTTCATAACATAAGAACAAAAGTTAAAAAGCAGAGAAAAAGATAGGCAATTTAGAATATTTTAATATATTTTTTTCGAATATGAGAGAAAGCAAAAAAAAATGATAGATGAAATTAATTATTTATTTATATACATAAAAGTCTAGAAAAAGGAAGGCATTTTGGAATTATTTATTTATTTTTTAGAATTTTTATGATTTTTTAATTTTTTTTAAATATGCCACGTGTCAACATATTTTGAGTCTCGTCGTTTAAAATTGATGTAGTTATCAAAAAAATTTGACCAAAATGATAAAATTAAGACACAAATTAAAAATAAAGAAATATGATTATTGAAAAAAATTAATAGAATGATACAATTAAAATAAATAAAATAGTAGAGAGACGTTAAATATTTGAGAAATGTTATAATACATAAGTAGTAGCTAATGACATATAAGTAGTTAATCATTGTGCCCAGTTTAAAGAGAAAGATAGACATACAAAAGAGAGAAAAAAATAAAAAAATTTGAGTGGACGTGAAAATCTTCTTATCATTTTTTATTTTTTATTTTATTTTATTTTTTTTGTATAGATTAACCCCAATGCAATTAGGCCTCAGCAGCAAGAGGCCCAAAACATTAAGTTTGACTGATCATCAGCAGGCCTTTGGATCGTCATGACTACAGCCTCAGGCCCATCCATTGGATCCGGGACACTACTAACTCTGCTTTCCAGAAGCAGACTTCTTATTCATGGCGCATAGCTTTTTTTTTTAATCAAAAATGAAAATCGGCATTACATTTTTTTTTTTTTCACAAATTCAGCTATACATCACTTTCTAGTAATCTAGTCTCACCCTACGTCAAATTAAGTTTAACAGGAAAACTATTTCTGAAAAAAAAAAATTAGATTGAACATTTAATTATTATTATTATTTTTTTTTACTGTGAAAATTCATAGATTATCATAAGTAGTCAAGATTTGTTCTAAAATATATACAGAAGTTCGGACTTCAACTCTTTTATTATTATTATTATTTAATGGTAAGAATATTTTTGAATAAAATTGTGAATCAATTGAAACAGAAAAAAAAAAAAACTGGAAAATTTTAAAATCGTACTTTAATTTTAAATCGTTCTGCTGTGTTTAGAAAAATTTTTAAAATTTTTTGATTACTAACCTCAAGATTTAAAATTAAAAAAATAAAGAAAATATGCAAACCTTTTTAACTACCAAGTCAATTCTTTGAAATTTTAAGTCCAATTTACAATAAATCGTGAACTTTCGACATATATGCAATCAACATAGTGTCTGTGTAGAGTTCTTGTTTTTTGCCTTAAAAAAAGAAAAAAATGAAAGATTTTTGTTTATCTAAGAATGTAAATATCTTTTGAGATAATGATTTAAATAGAAAATGATTTTATTTTATATATTATGCTATTAAGTATAGTATTTCAAAAAAATTTATTATCTTTAATATACAAGCTTGATGTGAAAAATATGTTTTTAAGATTGTTTGAAAAAAGATTTGATTTTAGTTGATCGTGTAACAGTTCAAAAATATTCTTATTATTAAATTTTTTTTTCATTATCTTCGGTTTCATTAAAAAAAAAAGTAATTAAAAAAATTAAAAATCAACCTGTAGTTAGAATTGTTGAGCAAAATTAAAAATTTAATTAAAATATTTGGCAAGTCTAAGAAAACCTAGACGTGTTCTTGATCTACTATAGTATTAAATGGATATTAAATATTTTTTAAAAATATTTTATGTGGATTTCGTGTACTTAGAATTTCAAAAATCTCTTAATTATGAATCGTGTTTATTCTTAAACTATCATATTAATTACATAAATCATTTTCAATCATTATTCTAATAAGTATCTTCATTATTTTTCTAAACAAATGGATCTCCAGGGAAAGTTTAATCGAATGAATTCTACTTTAGAGTAACTTATGAAATTAAGCCCATGACTTTTGTTTCTTACACATTTGATGGGATGAATTTTTTTAAAAGCTTTGACTTCTGATAAAATTAGATACCAATTTGGAAAACATTGGAAAAGCTTCTAACAGATAAAATTTTATTAAATAAATCAAATCTCTCCAAAATTTTAATTCGTTTGAAATTAATTTTTTGAATTTTAAATTAGATTTTTGAAATTCTTAAACTTTTAGTTTTTTTTTAGATTTGGTTCATTTAATTTTTGACAGATAAAATTAGTTCGGTTTTGTAATAATTTGATGACGGTGTATACACACACACACACGTTGGTGGCAGTGGTAGGTGATTTTGTGATGTGGTGGTTCCATGGTTAGAGCGCTGAGGTCTATAATCTTTGCCGTATGATTAGGATGATTGTGTTTGACTTTCAGATCGAGACATTTGTCTGATCTTAGGAAACTACATACAATGCAATTGGGCCTGAGCATCAATAGGCCCAAAACATTAAGATTGACCGATCAACTGCAGGCCTTTGGATCGCCATCTACAGGCTCTAGGCCCATCCACTGGATCCGGAACGGTACTAACTCTGCTTTCCTGAAACAGGCTTCTTTTTCATGGCACTTACATTTTTTGGTTTCACAAATTCGGCCATACATTACGTTCTAGTCTCACACTACATCAAATTAAGTTTAACAGGAAAATTATTTCTGCAAAAAAAAAAAAATTAGATCGAACGTTTGTTTTTATTTTTTACTGTGAAAATTTATTGAATTAACATAAGTAATTTATTCTAAAATATAAACAAAAGCTCTGCCTTCAAGTCTTTTATTATTATTATTATTTAATGATAAGAATATTTTTGGATCAGATTGCAGAACAATCGAAACAAATTTTTTGCTGTACAATTTTAAATTAGCATCTTTTAAATTGGTCAAGTCTATTTAAGGAAATTTTATAAATTTTTTGAGTACTAACTCCAAGATTTGAATCATAAATATATATATACATACTAACTCAATTCTTTGAAATTTCAAGTCTAATTTACAACAATCCGTGAACTTTCGAGATATATAATCAACATAGTGTGTGTAGAGATTTTTTTTTTCCTAAAAAAAAAATTGAAAGATTTTTGTTTATAAAGAATGTAAATAGCTTTTGAGATATTGATTTAAATGGAAAGTGATTTTATTATATATATTATGTTATTAAATCTAGTATTTAAAAGGATTTATTCTCATGAATACAAGAGCTTGATGTGAAAAGTATATTTTCAAAGAGTTTAATTGACACTCAAACAGTTCAAAAATATTCTTATTGTCCAATTAAAAAAAGTTATTATTATCTATGATTTAAAAAAAAATAGAAGAAAGAAATTTTTTTCTTAACGAATAGACATGATGATTAGAAATTGAACTAGGTTTTTTGCTCACGATACACTCACGGGTATGATAAAATATATAAAATCATTTAGAAAAAAAACATTTTAGTTTGATAGTTTGTTTTGTAGTGTGAATATATAAAAATATATGAAATCAAAGCTCAAAAAAATATTTTAAATTTTTTACTGTAATTTGAAATTAAATGAATGAGAATTTTTTTAAAAATGAAAAATTAAAGTAAAAAATCTTAAATAATAAAAATAATGAACAAAAAAATTTCATTTAAAAAGCAAGAAAAAAATTGTATAAATTATAATGATATATTTAAAAAAATAAAACACCGACATATTCATATATTAAAAAAAATTGTTAACAAATAAAATTAAATCAAAAACTTATTTTTATGTGAATTTTAATAAAAAAATAAATAATTAAAAATTCAATTTAAACAATAAAAATAATATATATATATATCATCTTTAAACTTTACGAAAAACTAAAAAAAATAATGATTTATTTTTTATATATTTATTTTTTTTTTTTTGGTAGACCTTTTTCTTTAATTGTTTTCTTTCTATATATATATATATATATATATAGAGAGAGAGAGAGAGAGAGAGAGAGAGAGAGAGAGAGAGAGAGAGAGAGGAGGAGGGGGCGTACGCCTGGTTACAAGCCAACCAGGACATTTGGCTGGTTGGTTGTGCAACCAGGCTGTCACATGAAAATAAAAAGGGGAGGAGGGCAACCCGCTTGGGCTGTGCAAACAAGCCAGCGCGTTAGGCCTTGCTTGCTAAAAAAACAAATCCATGCAACTTCCGATGAACCCGAGGTCATCGGAAGTTCGTCGAAAAATCGAGGGTCAATTTTCAGACCTCTAGAAATTGAATTCCAGCATGGTTTTTTTCCTAAACACCTCTAAATGATGAAAATAAAGCCAATAAACACATCCGAAACCTTAAAAATCATTTTAATACACATAAAAATAAAGAAAAATACAAAATCAAATCGAATTTTTTTTTCTTTTTTGGCTTTGATCTACCTCTTCTAATTGTTTAATGGATTGAAACCATCATGGACAAACTCAAATCTCAAAGATAAAAAGATCTAACGAACTTTTGCTGGCCAAAGTGGCCTAAATGAGCTTGGTCGACGATCTCTCTCTCTTTCTCTCAGCCTTCTCTCTCCACTTAGGAATCAAAATGGATGAGCAAATGAACATGTGGATCGAAACATACGTCCGAAAACTTTAGAGACCAAAGTGTAAAAAAAGTCATGAATAGTGAAAATAGCAGCGAATTGTGAAAGAGTGAGTAGCGAATTGTGAGAGCATATTCAGTATTTCAAATAGTAAACGCTACAGTAAATGAGCGTTTTCCTTTAGTTTATTAGTAATACCTTCACTATTAAACTAAAAAAAGAAAGGCCTGCTGAAGTTATATTTCTCAGTAAAAATAATTCAAGATATTAGAGTAATATATATATATATATATATACACAAGTATACCCATAAAGATAAGCATGGGAACTAGAGCAACGGAATACAACTCTATCTTTATCTACTAAGCTAACGGGTTACATTATAACCCTAGCACTATAACTCTTATCCTTAATTATCGCCCTTGCGTAAGCTGTGCAGGGGGTGAAACAATGCGCAAAGTTTTGGATAATGGCTTAGTTAAGACATCTGTAATTTGATCAGTGGTACATAGATAACAAACTTGTATCGTGTCTTGTCTTATTTTATCTCTTACAAAATGGAAATCAATCTCAAAATCCTTAGACCGTGAGTGAAAGATTGGAGTTATTGTGAGATATGTGGCAGAGACGTTGTTACACCAGACTATGGATGGAGTAGGGTTCAACATACCAATTTCTTGCAAGAGGGAGGTAGGTCTGGCACAATGGCGACCTCTACCACGCTAGGCATAGTGTCGTTATGCATAGTGCAGTATCACGATATTTTCTGTTGGAGTGATGCTCTCTTATAGCTGGAATTCTTCACTGAGAGCAAGTCCGTATAACGTCTCATAGGTGACCGGTTCATACCTGGATTCAATAGAACGGACGAAGGGTCTGTAGTAGGCTGTGAAACCACGCAATAGTGCTTGAACTAAATCATCCTTAGGTAGAGTCGAGCCAAGGGATTGGAGGGTATCAAAAATTTCTTTTCCTCGTTGAAAGAACTATGGGACTATCTTGTTGGTTCACCAATCAAGTCTATAAAGACTTCCTTTAAGATGGTTGATTTGTGTTCTAGTTCCAGAGCCACATGCAGCGGTGAGCTTGTTCCAGACAGCTTGTGCAGTGGTGGCGCTAACCCCCAAGGGTAGTACTGTTTCTGAGAGGGAGCCAATGATCCATGTGAGGACCAGTTGATCATTGTTTTCCCATTATAGATATGTGAGATTCAATTCACCATTAATGGTGTAAGGGGGTCACTGCTGGGAGGAGTCTATGTGATGCAGCAGTCCATGGCAACGTAGCAAGAGCTGGAACTATGTTTTCCAAAGAATGAATTCGTGATTGTGAGTTTGAGAAGAAAGTGGGTGTTGAGATTGGGAAGAGAAGGTGCAGCTATGGTGGGCGAACTTGTGTAAGGGGATGCTAGAGAAGAGGCTGAAGTTTGTTCCGTTTCAGCAGCCATGGGGATGGAGTTTGTATGCGGGAAGGTAGAAAAAAAAGGAGCATAGATGGTTAGGTCATTATGTTAGCTCTGATACCATGTTAAAGTTGTATTTTTCTGTAAAAATAATGCAAGATATTACAGCAACATATATATACAAGTATACCCATGAAGATAAGTATAGGAATTAGAGTAAAAGAATACGACTTTATCTTTATCTACTAAACTAATGGGTTACACTACAATTTTACCACTATAACTCTTATCCTTATTACGGTCATCGTAGTCTCTAACCAATACATTCATTCTCAATTATATTCTAAACTTATAAAATTTATCAATTAAGTCCTAAACATTTAATGTACAATGAGTGTTTCAACTTTTATTTATGTCAATTGAGTTGCTCATCTATTAATAATAACACAATTAAGTACCTTGATAATAAACATCTGTTGGATGCTTGCTAGTATGTCCATTAAATGATAACGTTATCAAAAAGTAACAAGAAAATAGTAAAAATGTTAACGTAGGCATAAAATAAAATATGTATTGTATTTTACTAATTTTAAAATTATTTTTTAAGATATGTTATAAGTATAAAATTTAGATTGGAAATATACGTGGTTTAACTTAATTTGTAACATAACATACCTAAAATTACATCAAGTTTAACATTTTTTTTAAGATTTTAATATCCGAATGGTTATAAGTTCTTTGCAAGCATCAATCGAGGACCGTTTTTAACAAATAAACAATTCAATCGATAAAAATTAAAGTCAAGACACCTAATCGTAAAAATTGAAAAAGTTCATACACTTAATATAGCTCAAACTAATAAAACCCGGAACCCATTTTCGTCCCCCAATACCCGAAACCAAACCAAAACCCTACTAAAACCTTTTCTCAATCTTTCCTTCCATGGCGACTGTCTTGCTCTTCAAGACATAACAACACCAAAAGAACCATTAGAAACCCCCTCTTGTTCTTAAACCTAAACTCAGGGGTTCTCTCTATACTGTCTCTCATTTTCTTTTCTTTATACAATAAAAGAAATGGGAAAAACAAGTGAAATTGGAGGGCTAATCTCAGCAATAGCAGCCTCCTTTTCTTTTTCTCAATCAAATCTCGTGTCTTTTGCTGATGGCCCTTTTAATTTCTCTCCTTTTTCTTCTTCTAGTCCTTCTCCTTCCCCTCCTCAATCTTCCTCTCCTTCTTCTTCTGGCCAATCTCAGCCGTCCACTTTGCCTCAATCAACGGCGGCGAGTAATACTGAGCCTGCTCCTAGAGCTCCTAGGAATGACCATCCACGAACTACGTCTGCTGGTTTTGACCCTGAGGCTTTAGAGAGAGGTGCTAAGGCTTTGAAGGATATTACCTCTTCTTCCCATGCTAAAAAGGTTGAAACTTTATTTAATAGAAAGTAGCTCTTTTTTGGTGGGATTTTGAGGTTGCTGTAAGGTGGTTGTTATGTTTTTGTGTTTTTGGTGGTGGGTTTTGTGGGAAATTTGTGAAAATTGGTTTGTGGTGTTTTTGCTTGATTTTTGGAATTGGAATTATTTTATGTTTGTTCGGTGGATTTTTAATTGTGGAATTTTTTAGGAGTTGGTGAAAATTGATTCTTTTTTTTTTTTTTTTCTGGATTTTTATTGGTGGGTTTCACTGGGTTTTGAGGTTGCTTTTGTGGAGTTTTGATTTAAGTTTTGAAGCTTCTCTCTTCTTTTTTTTTTTTTTTTCGTCCTTATTAGTTATAGACACGAGTGGATAATCAAATTCAATTTTTTTTTCCCACGTTTAGTTCCAAGAAAATTAGATTTTAAGTTAGTTTTTCTGGAATTGCATAAGACTTGAGTAAATTGAATTGTTCTTAGTTTTCCATTTCTGGGCCTTTGAATTTGTTTTGCTGTTGTGAAATCTGCATGTTCGAAATGCTTTTGAGAGGATTTAGGAATTTTTTATGATTCATTGATGCAGAATGTGCATTTAAATAGGTTCTTCAGTTAATGGATGTACTGATAGTGGTGCTTCTTGTCGTTGTAGGTCTTTGAGAGTATAAAGACGCAAGAAGCAACAAGGCAGGCAGAATTGGCTGCAAAGGCTGCAGAATTTAAGGCACTGCAAGCTCAGGCTGAAACTGTAAGTTACACTATGATGAGTTCCTTTCTTTTTAAATTTCATCAAGCTTGTGACTTGGGAGGCCTTTTGCTTAACCATTAAATGGTTGGTGCTCGAAAGTCCCCACTCCAGAAATTTGAAACCATTTAACCAGATACTTGAAGCTGAAATTCATTATTGCATCATAGCTTTTATGCTCCGTTAAGTATTAGATGTTGGTTTTTATCCAATAAATAAAAAAGTATTGGATGGAGGTTAAGCTAGATGTCTTTCTTCATTTGAATCTGACACCTAATGCAATCATTGGCAATGCCTTTTTTTCCCAGTTATTGTTGATGTGAGTTAAGAGTTGTGTTAGGGGAATTGCTGTCTCTCATGGGTTCTCTATTTATTTTTCATGTGTTTTATTTGTGATTGTGATCAACTCAGTTATGCCAGGGCTAAGACTTTGATATTTATGTAGCTCAGTAGCTGTATAGAAATCTTTTGGTATTTGAGTCATTGCCTGCCTTAGTTTTCTTGTAGTTGTAAAATTTTAAAGTTTTCACTGAAATTTGTATCTGTGCACTTTGAAAATTTCTGAATGTTAAATCCATTTGTTTTCTTCTTGATTGAAAGAAATCAACTCTCCTATGTGGCGAAAAAAAAAATCTCAAAATAGAGGGAGGCAGACTTTTTTTCCCTTCCCGTTTATTCACTAAAAGCAATCTACTTATTGGTTGTCAAATGGCTTGTGGGAGATAGGGCTTTGGTTTTTTCTAATGAGAAGGTGACAACAGAATCTGTGTTACTAAATTCATGCAAAAGTAATTTTGCTTTTGCATACTTGATGTGTTTTGAGGGTTGACACCTTGGTTATTGCTGGCACATCGTCTTTTTTCTTAAATTTTCCACCTTTTTGCTTGTCAGGAGAGACAAAGAGTGGTATATGATGAGCAGAAGAAGCTGGCTCAGCATCAGGCACAGACTAAATCCCAGATGGCGCGCTATGAAGATGAACTGGCACGGAAGAGGATGCAGGCATGTACTGTTAAAATTTTAGGATTGAAAGAAGTTATTTCTTGGAGAGGAGTTTAATTTGTTCATATTACAGGCTGAAAATGAATATCAAAGAGCAAGGAATCAAGAACTTGTGAAACTGCAAGAAGAATCATCAATAAGACAAGAGCAGGCTCGAAGAGCAACAGAAGAACAGATTCAAGCACAACGGCGACAAACAGAGAGGGAAAAGGCTGAGATAGAACGTGAAACAATTAGAGTGAGATCTATGGCAGAAGCAGAAGGTAGAGCCCATGAAGCAAAGCTAGCTGAAGATGTTAACAGACGAATTCTGAAGGATCGTGCAAATGCTGAAATGGAGAAATGGGTTGCTGCAATTAATACCACTTTTGACCATATTGGAGGTATGAATTCAATCACATGCACTCAGCTTAAACTTTGGGAAAACCCTGTTTGAAGAAAGACATGACAGTGGCTTTTATAAATGGTTACAAGTCATAGAAAGGGCTGTACCTCTTTTGGTTGACCAAAGGCCCTGATTCTCTTGCTGAGCTCTGGGACTCTGCAGTGAATCAACTGAATACATGATGGTCCCTGATTTCTTATATCAAATCTAGTGTTCCACTGATTAATTTTAACATTAGTCTTCATAAAGCTGTAATGGCATTGTTTTGGTTTTATGTGCTCATTGGTTGTTGCTCAGGAAGATATCGTCTTATGTGAGTGCATCTGTCTTTTGTAGGTGGTTTGCGAGCTGTTTTAACTGATCAAAACAAGCTGGTTGTTCTTGTGGGAGGAGTCACAGCTCTTGCAGCAGGGATTTACACAACAAGGTAAAAATTACTCTTGCTTGAAGATGCTGATTGGTGGGCTTGTGTGCTGTTAGTGACCATTGGAAGTTAAGGAGTTCCATTTTCCCTGTAATTAAACGTTGGAGATTTTGATTGTGGTATGTTTCTTGTTGTTTTGAGAAGGTGAGAAAATGTATTTAGCCTTGAGTTGTCATGGTCTTAAATAGTTGACCAGTGACGTGCTGATATTAGTTTACATATGTACGTGTCTAGTTGGCTATGTTTGGGTCTGCTATCACACAGTTAGTGTGGAAGTGTGAGCAGTTAATTTTCTACTGTGTCCACTGAGTCTCTTGTGTGTGTTAATCAACACTACAGCTTATCCTTTTTTGAATTGCAGAGAAGGCGCTCGGGTGATCTGGAGCTATGTGGATAGAATATTGGGACAACCATCACTAATTCGAGAGTCCTCTAGGGGCAAATACCCTTGGTCAGGAGTTCTTACCCGTTCCTTGAGAACTTTATCAAATGGTGCTAATAAAGGGTCAGCTTCTAAGAATGGGAATGGATTTGGTGATGTGATTTTACATCCTTCTCTTCAGAAACGAATTGAACAGCTGGCTAATGCAACTGCCAACACAAAATCCCATCAGGCTCCATTTAGAAACATGCTTTTCTATGGACCTCCAGGAACTGGAAAAACAATGGCTGCTAGAGAGTTAGCTAAAAAATCTGTATGATATCTAACCTTAATTTTGTTTTTGAAGTCTTCAATTCATTAATTATGCCATGTGATGTCAAATCTTCTTTGTTCAGCAATAAAGTTGTATGCTTATATTGAGAGATTGCTGGGCATTCACTTTCCTGACCTTGTCATGTCATGGATTCATTGGGATGGAAGATGAAGTGTTTGAGTCATAAATTCACACCTTAATTAAATTTCATGTTAGTTGCCATAACCAATTCTTCTTTTCCGCTGGCTAGCTTGTAATTTTGATTTGGGATTAGATCTTGGGCACTTTAGAGTTTTGACTCATAAGTTTGATAGATTTAAATTTATTGACCCTTCAAATTGCTCTTGTAGAGTTAACTTTTCATATTTTATCACTTCATATTAAGATAGCTTCTGAAAAATGTGTTGCTGCTCCTTTTCTTCTTCTTTCTGACTTGAGATTTACATGCAGGGTTTGGATTATGCCTTGATGACTGGTGGAGATGTTGCTCCACTGGGATCACAGGCTGTCACGAAGATTCACCAGTTATTCGACTGGGCCAAGAAGTCTCAGAGGGGGTTGTTGCTATTCATTGATGAAGCAGATGCATTTCTGTGCGAGTAAGTGGCAATTTTCTTTTGGATAAAGGAATTTCATCCCAAGGAGCTTAAAATACTGTCAGTGACCATATGGTCTTTGTTAATGACCATATAAGATGCTCGAGGTGTCATTCTTCGGTCTGAAAAATGAACTAAAGTAAAATTAAACAAATAAAATAGATTAAAATCCCTTTTAGTTTGGTGTGTAGTTACTGATGTTTTATAAAGTATCTCTTCATGGAGAGAATATTTATGCACTAGCGGATAATTTTATTAGTTAGGACTTTTAGTCTACTTTAATGCAGCCTGTGTTATTATGAGTGAGCTGATAAAATGTTGCACTATTTATAATAATGTTAAATGGGGAAATACGAGACATAATTCTCTCATACATATTACAGTACCCTGCTAGTTATTTAGTTCTTGTAAGTTTATTTTCAGTTTTACTAGTTGAACCAGGTTCCTACTTGAGAGTGTTGAATTTTGTTTCCCCAACATTGCAGGCGGAACAAGACTTACATGAGTGAAGCTCAACGAAGTGCACTGAATGCCCTTCTTTTCCGCACTGGTGACCAGTCCAAGGACATAGTCCTTGCTCTTGCCACAAACCGCCCTGGTGATCTTGATTCAGCTGTTGCAGACCGTATAGATGAAATCCTTGAATTCCCTTTACCTAAGACAGAGGAACGCTTTAAGCTGATCAAGCTTTATCTGGACAAGTATATAGCTCAGGCTGGATCAAAAAATCCGGTGGTTGGCTTCAGAACTTGTTCAAAAGACAACCACAGAAGATAGAAATAAAGGGATTGACTGACGATGTCTTAAAGGAAGCAGCCGAAAAAACTGAGGGATTTTCTGGGAGAGAAATAGCAAAATTGATGGCAGGTGTCCAAGCAGCAGTTTATGGAAGTCAGAATTGTGTGCTTGACCCAAGCCTGTTCAGAGAAGTGGTAGATTATAAAGTTGCAGAACATCAACAAAGGAATAAACTGGCTTCAAAATCCGATGAAAAAAGTGCCTAAGGTGTCTGTCTGTTGAGATGGTAATTTCTTTTTATTGGGCTGTTCTTCTATTCGGCTAAGGATACAAGATACATGAGTGACTTAGCTAACCAAAGAAGCCCGCATTTTTTTGGTTCTGGGCATCATGTTGTTATCATTATTTCCCCCCATTCATGGGGGAATTTTGAAATAGCTCATTCTAAGTTTTGTTAGATTTGATGGTTCTTAGGTATATTTGTTACATTTGTTTTGTTGTTGGCATCTTTATCATCCCTCTTACTTTTGGCTGGGCAGGGAAATCCCATTGGTTTGGAAGCTCTTGGGTAATATAGCTCTATTTCATGACCCCCCGTAGTGTTTTAGGTTAACAATCAACCAGCGTCTAGGGCTTCATTGTTTTGTATTCCAAATCATGTTTTTCCAGAGAATGTATTCCCCCAAAATCATAAGTTCGTTTAGCCAATTGCTCTGTGCTTTATACTACCAATTTCGTGGCAGGTCTGTTAAGATTTATGTTAGCCCTTCTACTTCTATTGTAAATTTACCCAAAACTGAGTCTTTGAGATGTTATGTGCTGCTAAATTCGTAAAGGAGTAATAAAAAGGCATGTAAACAATAACAACACATAAGTTTTAACTGGTTTAGCCTCTAATTTTGGCCTTCGATCTCAACTATGAATCTTCAAAGACAATTATATATACAACGTAACCAAAGAAGAGAGAATTATACAACATGGCTTTCCCATCTTTCTTGCATAAAAGTCATTAGTTGAAGCCTTCTTCGCCTTCATCAGCGTTTTCAAGGGTGAAGAGCCGCCATCTTCTGTATCTTTCTTGCCTGCAAGGAAGTGAGGAACTCTTTCTTTGAAGACAATTCTTGAAACCAGGATGCTGAAACTCTTCTAGCAACAGCCCATCAACTTTCTATGGTCCATCGCATGTTCAGAAGAAAGAAACTTTGGCAATGTTTCATGAAACATTCCATTCAAGGTTGCTGCTCCGATGTTGATGATTCCATGAGGCTCGCCAGATGGATTTTGCACCAGGAACGTCATGCAAGTTTCGCGTACCTTAGCTTCACCAGCAGCCAGACCTTTTATCTTCAACAAGTCTTCAAGCAAGACATGAACTACACCGATTCTTTCGTCTTTCCTAAATCTCCTCACGCGATATATCTCCAAAACCAAACAACAATTAGGCCTACTGCGCTCCAATTCTTCGTCAAGTGCGAAAAGGAACTTGTCATTCCAAGTAGGGTTTGTGTTGCCGGTTCTGTCAACCCTTGAGACAGCCTTTTCCTTAGGGTTGATGTAGCCCACCACGTAGGTTTGCATAGGAGTCGAAGATGACTTGCTCTTAGACATGAGCTCTTGTGCTGATATGAGATTGATCTCCACGATGATTGCTTTACGTAATAATGATGCCTCCATGCTTGAGTCCGTAGATGAATACAGAAGGATTGAAAGATTTAACTCAAAACCTCTTCTACAACCACTCTCACACTTAAAAAAAAGAAAAACAAATAATCTCTCAAAGTTTTTCACATTCTAAAACCATACATCTACCTCATCTATTTATAATGCCCAAAATCCCTGATGGACAAGGAATCCTTTATGAATAAGGAATACTTAATCATTACGACATCCTATTTACTTAGCCGTAATATAAAGCTAAGAGTAACAAACAGATTTTTTAGGTTGAGAATTGTTAGAGAAAAGAATGAAAATCTAGGGTTTTTTCTCTCTCTCTTTTTTGATGTGAGAGTATTAAGTATAGGTTAATGGATACGGAAACTTTTTGTGCTTTTCGTGAAGTATTTCACCCTCCATGTCATCAATGATGATCATCTTCATATATATATATATATATATTTCTAACTTGTTTTATAGGAAAATTAGAGATATGTCTATGTCAGAATAGGATTTTAAATCCGCAATACTATATTCAATCTTTTTATTTCTATTATTTCATTGGTTCGAAATATTTGAGAATTATATTAAACTGAAAAATAGATAGAAAGTTTTTTTAAAATATCATGATATTTATATGGCTCGTATATAAATAAATTTAAAAATACTTACTTGTATGTGGAAATTCACTACTTGAGGGCCTATATATATATATATAAGATTTTTTTTTCTTTTAGTTTTAGCAATAAAAGTGTTTTTGAGCCAATTTTTGCACTCTATAATTAAATAATTTATCTTAAAATCGGATTTTTAACAATTCATTCATATTCAAACCGATAGAGTTACACAAAATTATGTTATTGTTTTTTTATCCCTTGAAATTCAAATCTTACATGATAACATTAATTAAGTACAAAACTATTTTTACCAACAATAATAAATTTCCAAAAAATATCATATCCTCAGAGATGTGCATAAAAGATTATCATTCTACTGGTCTAGATAAATATTTTGATTTTATAATTGTTCGTCTTCTTTCATTGTTTCTGTTCATTTTAGTTCTCATATTATTATATTGACATCCCCTTTTTTTTTTTTCACTCCTTTTATATGTATTTTTGCAATAAACGTCATTTTTTTATAGACATCGTGGGACCAAATGACTGGATGTAATTGGTGAATGATTAATGTCAACCTTACACAAACAGTAAATAATTAAAACCCAGCAGTAAATTGTCAGATGATCACCTTTCACCCACGACGAATAAATTTTTTTTTTCCTTATTTGTTAGGCAAGAAAAACTTTTTTCAGATATTCTTAGTATCTCAAGTTCAAAAATTTAGATTAATATCTCGTTATTCGGTTAAGTGATTAAGTTCATAAATCGGACATAACTACTCAAGAAGTTTTTTACATATATAATAATTCAAACTCAAGATTATTTATTTAAACGATTAAAATTATTTATGTTAAATCTAATTCTATTGGATAAGTGAAAGATTAATTTTATATAAATAGATAACTAACAACTTTTTGAAAAATAAAATCAAAGTACTTATATAGCTGAGATATAGAATATATCAAAGAAAAGCCCAGCCGGCCTATGGGGATAGGTCAATTAGAGGCCCTTCTACCATTTTAGGCCTACTTCCAAACCTTTTCAGGGCAAGCTTTTATAAGTTTAAGCTTATTTTAAGAGCCCACAAAATTAATCTCAAAAAAAAAAAAAAAAAAAAAAAACTCTCTGAAAGCTCTGTCTAAACAACATAAGTAGTGTGTTTATGTAATCGTTTTTCCCTCGTCTGAACCAAAAATTATATTATAATGGGTAAATTATACAGTAGGTTTTTTTTCTTCAAAATTTAAAAAATAAATTAATTAGTCCTCCTTATTTCAAAAATTAATGCTTAATTTAATATTATTTTTTTTTAAAAAAAAAATCATCTTTCTTCATTGATCTTTTCAGGTCTTTCACTTATTTTTTATATTTTCTATCTTTTAAAACAAAAAATCAAAATAAATTAAAAAAATCAAGGCACAAGAAAATTTAAAAATATACATACTAAAATAATTAGTTTTTAAAACAAGAGAGACTAATTAATTTGTTTCTCAAAATTAGAGAGGCGACTGATTTATAATTTACTATATAATTAATTTCATTAAGTTCCATCTAATAGAGAGACTGATTCTTGTAGATAGGTACTTTCATTTCCGTCCTACTGTTTTTGTTAGGCTATCTACATGGCCGGTTGGTGCATCAAAATATTGTAAGATTTCAATTGTTTCTCACTTATGGTAAGTACTTATAATGTTGTAATCATAACCATCAAGAAGGTAGGATTTAATTAATGATTGCTTTAATATTGATCTTCTTCTTTACCATTTCTTTATCCATTTTAGATTTATGTACATTGTTAATTATACTTTATTCCGACATTATAATTATATATATTAAAGATTGATACAAAATCATTTTTAAAACTTTATTTAATAGTTTAATTTTTTTTAATTGAGATACATACAATATTTGATATGGTATTAAAATTTCAATGATTAAACGGTATCGAATTCGAATCTCATTATTTTAAAATGATGTACTAAAACAATTCATATAATCTCACCCAACAATTTATTATACAATTTCACCTTAAAAATAAGCTCTCTATGTACAATTTTGGGGACCAATGGTAGAATGCTGCTCCTTTCGCTATTAATATAAACTTTTAAGATGAGAGTAAATCATGGGCATAAATTACTTTACATGACATTTTCAATCACTACTTACTTCTATCGTGAAATTGATAATTGTACTTATTTTGAATTATTGATTTCACAAAGCTATAACATAACTTTTTTGCAGAAGAATAGAAAATAAACCCTTGAGGGTTTTTATGCGATTTAGGTGGATTTTTAATAAATTTTTTATTTATTTTATAAATTGTAAATATGCTAAGTACAATATAAAACTAAAAAAACTATGGTATTTGAACGAGTGAATGAACAACTTATTTACTTCGATATATATTTATGCGATTTAGGTGGATTTTTAATAAAATTTTTTATTTATTTTATAAATTGTAAATATGCTAAGTACAATATAAAACTAAAAAAACTATAGTATTTGAACCGTGAATGAACAAAACCCCAATTCTTTTTTTTTCCTCCCGGGTTGACCGAAGAACCAAGGCTCGGCTCTTGGCGCACACGTGCCAGTCGGGTATATATATATATGGCTCATGATCGACAAACGTATCTTTAGGTTACAATGGCCACTTTGAAACATTTTTAATTTTTTGATTTTATTGCAAATTTGTAATGGTTGATAATTTTTTTATATAATTTTATTTGTTAATAAATTTGATTTTTTTAATATATGAATTTTGAAATAAAATTTTAGAATGTTAATTTTTTATTTTTAAAAAATATATTATTATAATTTATATAATAAATTAATTATTTTTATATTTTCAAATGAGTGTTATATATATATATATATATATAGAGAGAGAGAGAGAGAGAGAGAGAGAGAGAGAGAGAGAAGGTTGAAAGTATGTTTTAGATAGTTTGACTCAATTTTTTTTAAAAAATAATAACGAGTTAAAAAATTCACAAGTTTTATTTATTTTTTTATATATATTTATTCAGAATTTATCATAACTAATTTTATTATAGTTTTTATTTTAACCTATTGACTTTAATATATTTCTATAATTTAGGTAGTTTTTTTGTATATTTTTCTATTTATTCTATACTCTGAATCTATTATGTATGTGTTGTGTGTGTGTGTGTGTGCATATATATATTGGTTAGAAATTAACTATATATAGATTTAATTTATATTAATCACAAAAATAAAACTTTTTATTAGTGTTAAACCATACGAATTGTTAAATCTACGTATGTAACAATTGTCTACCCGCAGCGTAGCGTGGATATCCAACTAGTTAAATCTAATTCTACTAGATAAGTCAAAGATTAATTTTATATAAATAGATAACTAACAACTTTTTGAAAAATAAATCAAAGTATTTATATAGCTGAGATATAGAATATATCAAGGAAAAGCCCAGCCGGCCTATGGGGATAGGTCAATTAGAGGCCCTTCTACCGTTTTAGGCCTACTTCCAAACCTTTTCAGGGCAAGTTTTTATAAGTTTAAGCTTATTTTAAGAGCCCACAAAATTAATCTCCAAAAAAAAAAAAAAAAAAAACCCAGAAAGTTCTTTCTAAACAACATAATTAGTGTGTTTATGCAATCGTTTTTCCCTCGTCTGAACCAAAAATTACATTCTAATGGGTAAATTATACATTAGTTTTTTTTTCAAATTTTAAAAAATGAATTAATTTGTCTTCCTTGTTTCAAAAATTAATGCTTAATTTAATATTATTTTATTTTATTTTAAAAAAATCATCTTTCTTCATTGATCTTTTCAGGTCTTTCTCTTATTTTTTATATTTCTATCTTTTTTAAAAAAAATCAAAATAAATTAAAAAAATCAAGGCACAAGAAAATTTAAAAATATACATATTAAAATAATTAGTTTTTAAAACAAGACAGAGCTAATTAATTTGTTCCTCAAAATTTGAGGGACAACTGATTTATAATTTACTATATAATTAATTTCATTAAGTTCCATCTAATAGAAAGACTGATTCTTGTAGATAGGTACTTTCATTTCCGTCCTACTGTTTTTGTTAGGCTATCTACATGGCCGGTTGGGGCATCAAAATATTGTAAGATCTCAATTGTTTCTCACTTATGGTAAGTACTTATAATGTTGTAATCATAATCATCAAGAAGGTAGGATTTAATTAATGATGGCTTTAATTTGGTAGTATTTGCATATTGATCTTCTTCTTTACCATTTCTTTATCCATTTTAGGTTTATGTACATGGTTAATTATACTTTATTTCGATATTATAATTATATATATTAAAGAGTGATATAAAATCATTTTTAAAACTTTATTTAATAGTTTAATTTTTTTTTAATTGAGATACATACGTTATTTGATATAGTATTAAAATTTCAATGATTAAACGGTATCGAATTCGAATCTCATTATTTTAAAATGATGTACTAAAACAATTCATATAATCTCACCCAACACTTTATTATACAATTTCACCTTAAAAATAAGCTCTCTATGTACAATTTTGGGGACCAATGGTAGAATGCTGCTACTTTCTCTATTAATATAAACTTTTAAGATGAGAGTAAATCATGGGCATAAATTACTTATCAAGACATATTTCAATCACTACTTACTTCTATCATGAAATTGATGATTGTAATTATTGAATTATTGATTTCACAAAGCTATAATATAAATTTTTACAGAAGAATAGAAAACAAACCCTTGAGGGTTTTTATTTATAAGTAAGGATTAAGAATAATGAAATAAAGACAACAAAAAAATCACCATGGCTAAACATTTAATTCATGGTGTTCATCATACACTATATCCAACAAAGACATTAACTAGTTAGAACAGAAATCCAACAATTAAGAATCGTATTAATTAGTGCATTATGAGCAACATTAATAGAAAATCCCACTTTGAATGATCACCTTGTTGACACAACCTGCTGCTTACATAGAAGATTTACCAAGTTCTTGATTGGATCAAACTGCGTCCTCAATGCATGATGCATGGAGAAAGAGAGAAATAGAGCTTCATTGATTTTAGAGCATGTAGAGATCGGCTAACTCTTCCATAGAATCAAAATTAACATTTGGATCGGCATTTTCAAGCATCCATAAAAGGTGGTCAAAAAAGACTACCTCGCATTTCACCACCACAATATTCTCCTCTCCTGCCTTTTGCTTTGACTTCTCAATGAGAGCATTCACTAAAGGATGGCTCAAATACTTGGAGTCAATGACATACCTCTTTCTTGTGCTCCCAACAAATATAGTTTCATGATTTTCATCTTCTTGCTTACGATCACCCCATAAATCTTCCCGAGTAGATTTGGACCTTAGGCTGCTATAAGACGAAGATCTCCCTAGTTGCCTCGACAAACTCTTGCATTTCCTTAGTATCAAGCTGATCTTTTTCATTATTTGTTGGGAGACGGAAAAAGGGAATGGAAAGACAAGTTTAGAAGTTAATATTGCATAAAAATATGAAGGAGGCATGCATATATAGAAGACTTGCTGTACACTCACAAAAGGTATAACAGCAATCGGGTTGGCTAGCTAGATTAGCTATGGTGGGTAGTATGTCATTGTTTACTGGTGCTGGAAATGTGGGACATATTGAGCCTTGCAACCGAACATTTCTATCATCAATGACATAGACAAGCATCTTTTGACGAATGAATGTTTCATGGTGGGGCTTTTACAGGCTCAAAAGGACATACAAAAGCTCTAGTTAATTACTAGCCAATGGGGCATTACTGTCCAAGCCCACAGTTTTCGCACCCAGCCTGAAATCTGTGTAAGAGTATCTTTGTTTGGATGACTGGTGATATCAAGACAATACTTATCAGTACAACCTTAGTTTCGGCTAACAATTCAAGGTTGCTCTCTCCACCCGTAGAAAATTACCTTTCTTGCTACACAATCAATTGATGCACAATTCTTGAATTTGGTTTGCAACCTGATCTTGAGTGGTAGCTTTAACTTTTTTATTGCCTATGGAAAAGAAAACTCCATAGCTTTTTTTTTTTTTTTCGGTAGAAGACAATCCAATAATCAAGTACTGTTTAGGCACAATATTGGCATGATAGATAAAGTTCTAAATCTAAATTTCTCAAACACTATGTTTAAGACATTAACACAGTAAAAATCTTCATTAAAACAATTATCAAATACATAATCATTAGACTAGATCTGCTTGTATAATATTTTTTTTAGTATTTGAAAATTTTAAACTCGTCGTAACCACCTAGAAGGAGAAAAGACATTTTTTTCACAATGGATTATGGAGAGTTTGAACTGTGTGATCGCAAAATCCTCATTTATTTTTTAATGATGAAAAAAAAATTGTAATTATTAGAGAACATCCTCAAAATATTAGCCACACATATTTTTCCTGAACAAGGAATATATATATATAGGTTAGATCAGCTAAGGATAATGTTTATGTAATTTAGACTATATAGTAAAAAATCTTCGTTAAAAACAAATTATCGGATACACAATTATTAGATTATATCTGCTTAAATAATATTTTTTTTTAGTATTTGAAAATTTTAAGCTCGACATAACTACCCAAAGGGAGAAAGAACATTTTTTTCACAATGGATTACGGAGAGTTTGAACTATGTGATCGCAAAACCCTTATTTATTGTTTAACGGTGAAGTAAAAATTGTAATTATATGAGAACATACTCAAAATATTAGCCACACATATTTTTCCCGAACAAGGAATACATAGGTTAGATCAGCTAAGGATAATGTTTCTGTAATTTAACATACAAATATATACCTAGCTAATTTCTTTTCTGTCTGCATGGTAGATGCCGAAATGTAACATGCACATGAGATCAGATGTGAATCAACGGTAATGAAGGAGAGGTTTTGCTTTGCATTGCGCATTACAACAAGAAATGGCCATCATGAGGAGTGAGTCCCACCTGGAATGCATGGCTTGACCGACTGCCTAACTTTCATGGTTAGCTGACAAAATCTGTGCTCGTGGGCATTTTGTCACAGACCCAAAACCTTAACCTTCTCACATGGCCACGATCCAGTTTTTCATGAATCAAATTGTCTAAGACCACAGAACCAAATTTCAAGAAGATTACCTGCAAAAAGCATGTTGGTACCCTGTACATGCTACCTAGGCATGGGCAGTTCTCATTCCCTGAACCTAAAATTATTTGATTGATGGTACAAAAAAAAACAAAGATTATTTGATTGATATGAAAATAAGAATATTCAATGATTGATCACATGGACATATATATATCAAATCCAGAGACTAATTTCTAGAGAAAAACAAAACATTTTATGTTTTTTAAACAATTTGAAATAAAGCTTAGTGTTTCAAAAAATCACAAACTATACATGTTTTAATGATTTTAGTTTATTTTTAAAAAACTATATAGAAAGGTCATCAACTAAACATCCAATAACAATACTATCATCGATCTGATTTTTAGACCAAAATTTCAAGTAATGCCGACATGATAAGTTATAAAACATGATACGTTGGCTTTAGCAAGCCACTTAGGATCTACGTAAGCATGGCATGTGGACTTTAACAAGCCACTTAGGATCCATGTAATTGATTTTCTTACGTGGATCCTACGTGACTTGCTAAAGTTCATGTGTCATGCTTACATGGACAGATCATGTTAGCATTGATTGGAATTTTGGTCGATCTGGATTGTATCATGCTTACATGGATTATCATTCTAGCGTTGATTGAAATTTTGATCGAAAAATCGGATCGGTGCTAATATTATTGTGGAAAATTTAATTGGTAACCTTTTTATATAATTTTTAAAAAACGAGCTAAAATCATTAAAAAGTGTATAGTTTGTCATTTTCTAAAACATTAAGCCATTAAAAAATGCTATTTTTTAAACTTACTTGTCATGAATTCATACTCTTATCAATAGTTTAAACCACTTAATCTTGAAGCCAAGAAAATTAGTAATGGGTTTGAATTGATCCATCACTGACCTAACTAAGAATGTCCTTTAATTCTTACACTATATGCCAACATTTATAGTTGTCTCTTGTCTCGATCCTATAGTAGTTTGTGTCATGTTGGTTTCTTTCTAAATATAGTGAAACCCTAAAATCAAATCAAGCTCAGCCACCCAAATTGTTGAGCACCCGATGAGTTGTTCAACCCGTTTTGTTTAAACCAGGGGCAAAGTAACATGGCAATGAGGCCATGCATGACGACTTGTAAGCTTACTTGATGTGTCATTTTCTTGACAGTTGCAAGACTTAGGGTTGAGTTTCCTTATATTCATCCTTTAGGGAAAATAATAAAGAGAGAGGAAAAAAAAAGTTGAAAGGATCGAGGGAAGAAACTGCAGTGTAACATAAGGGTATTTTCAGAATAAATGGACTTGATTGATCATTTTCTAAGAATACGAGAACTCAAATGGGTCTTTATAAAGCATAGGTATCGAAATGTGTTTGAGCCGAAAAAGTTTATATATGCTTTTTTGAATGGTTTTTTTTTTTTTAATGGTTTTGACAAATCTATAATAAAACTATTCAAAAAAAAAAAACCATAAATATAATGATCTTAGGGCTTTGTTTGAGAACAAAAAGTAACATAATAGGAGTAAAAATAAAAGTTATATTCTCAATTTGTGCGTGTTTTATTGAAAAAAATAAAATAAGGGTGAAAGTAAAAATTAAAATTAAACATGATTTTATTTTCATGGGAGAATATGAGAATAAAATAAATAAGAAAGATATTTTTTATTCTTCAAAATAATGATATATTATTTTTTATTTATTATATATTAATTACTTTCATTGATGATACCATCATGGCTAACATTTGCAATAACGATAAAAACAATTAAAAAAATATTATATTATTCCATCACCATTTTGCCTCTACCATCATTGCATCACCGTTGTTTTTATTTTACTATCACTTCCACCATTCTTCTTTCGTTACTATCTTCTATGATGATGACATTAATTTTTTAAAAAATATATTATTGTTATTGCTATATTATTATTATTATCTCCGTTGATGCCTCTTTCTCCTCCTCCTCTATCGTTATCATTACCATCAACACAATCACCTCTATTATTTTTACTATTATGATAGTTGATAAAATTATTTTTTTAATAATTATCTTTATTCATCTTAACAATTAGATATTAAAAAAATTAAATTTTATTTTAATTTTTTATTACCATTCCAAACACATTATTAAAATAAAAATATCATTTCAATTTTTATATTTTTATTTCAAAATTTTCATTATTAGTAATCAAACCACAATGTGAATATAGTTTTGCTTAAGGACAAAGGCAGACCGTGTGCTCCTTGCATTGTCGTTTTGGATAAGCATCCCAATAAAATATTTCCAAACGTTTTTCTTAATACAATTTCATTTCTGACATATTAAATTAAAAAGTTTATAGTACGAAGATGCTAACTAATTTGGACAAGGCTAGCTCAGTGGCATTGAAGTGTAACCATGATTTGATGACAATCACACAGTGATCACAAATGGACACAGCTAATAATTCTAAACAAGTGTGTTGGGTTTTGAGGATTGAAAGTAATGAAACTTCTTTCCAGCTTAGCTTCCAAGTGACAGAAGAAGGGATTTGTACTTGCTTAGAAGCAAAAGCATGAGCATAATCCATCATAACAAAATGGAGGATCCATGATAAGTCAAGGACCCACTGCCATAAGAGAAAGCATAATCAAATGCAAATGATGCTATCAGTTGGAGACAATGACAATTTACCTTTCACATCTGCAAGTTAGCCCATTTGCTTTCGCAAATTGAAACAAGCAATTATATTGTTATAATGACAAGCATAACACCAGTTTCAAACTTTTGACCAGTTTCAGCAACTTATGATGCAGAAAGAGCTTTGCATACAAGCCAAGTGGCATATAGAGACCTCTAGAATTGAAATGTTACCACATCTAGTAAATTCATTTTTCCTTTTAAGAAACAAAAGTGAGTCTAGGAACCCAAAATCAGCAAGAAATTCATCTTCTGACTTCTGTACTGTGTACAGCACTTGAGGATACTCAAGTTGCTGTCAAAACTAGCTAGCAGTTTTTCTAGACCTTCTTCTTATTGAATATTCAAAGAATAGTACATGTGAAAACTCCATCCAAACAATACTTAGGGTGAAAGTAATCAAATCACATCACATGATACATGCTCTGCTCTCAACTTATCCATAAACCTATGATGCATTGATGAATGGGGTAAAATAATTAATATCAGTTGTCTTTCACAGAACCAACTCTATATATGTTATGAGCTATTCTACTCATCACAGAGTACTCAGCTTACTCAAGCAAAATTCTGTTGGTTGATTGGATGAGCAGGTAAAAAATGAAAAGAGTGTTCCATTTTGTAGGCAAGTTATAATGTATCCCCTGTTCAAGAAGATTTCAGGGAAATGAACTCTAAAGCCATTCTGTCAGTTGAGCTGTATTCAAAATTGTCCACCAGCCTGATTGTGTTGGAAAAGCAACAGGATGTGTTTATCTTTGGTATGACGGCTGTTAAACGTTGAAACGAAACAGCATTACATCTCCTTCTTGAACTACGTAGTCTTTACCCTCAGATCTCAACTGCAAAAGTCAAACTAGCCCAGGTAAATAAATCTTCAAGGGGAAAAGAACTTAGAATAACACTATAAGCACATAAAGTGTTCACAAGCGATCACACACCCACATCCCGCGTGTGTGTGTATGTGGATGTGAGCATGTGGAGTGGGCGAGAGAGACAGGGAGGGTTCACACGCTTGTTCTGTCTTTAAGGCTGAAGCAGCGCAAGGGCAGTCCTTCCCACGATGTGTCTATGATTTCTTACTATTCATGGAAAATAAATGTGCACAGTAGAGCAGCAAACTCACAAGTCCTTTTTCCCTTGCGGCAGCAAGTGAACCGGCAGCTACAAAATCATCATAAGACACCTATAGTAAAACAAAAAGTCACCTTGGTCAAGTGAACTAAGGATGCTAGCATAAATGACTGAACAAAAATAGTGCTTGTGCATATCATAACAAAATCCAATATTGCAAAAGCTAGAATAAAGATTCTAACCACTTCAATGAAGAAGAAAAAAATGCTACAAGTTTACTCTTCTACTCTTCAAGATCATTTAGTCGCTACCACCTCAGCAATTCAAACACTAGGAAACCTTTTTTTTTTTTTTTTTTGGGATAGAAGGAGGGGGTTAAGAGAGAGGGCTTAAGCCCAAGAAAAAGAACTACTAAGGCACCCAAATGAGAGATACACACCCCAGCAATATCCTTAGACATAAAAGATTGATGAGAACAGGTTATTTTTACAACTGCATAAACAAAATACACAACCATATTGGCTAGAAAGTAAAAAATCTAAACGTTAATAGGGAAAGCCAAAACTTGTAATTAATATGCTTACTGTCTCAGCTCGAATAAAACCCTTCTCAAAGTCGGAATGTATAACTCCAGCAGCTTGAGGTGCAGTCATTCCTGA